CAGTCAGGCACGTAGGCGGAGTTAAACCGAGCCACGCCCTATCGCGTTGCCCCTTTACCAGCCCGGTGCGCTCGTCAAATGTTTTTCGTCGCGGATTATGACGCGGTCTGCGCGATTATGACCACCTCTCTCTTTCTCTCGCCCGCGCCGTCGTTCTCCTTCCATCTTATGTTGTTTCCCCCTGACTCCGCATATCACGGCGCTCAGTGGCGGGATTTTTTTCTTTCTCCTTCTTTCTCTCTTTTTCTGTCTCACACCGCTATCTCCCTGCCGACGAGGACAAACTTTGCTCTTGCCTCAGCCGCTCGCTACCACGTCGTCTCGGACACGCGAAGAGGCGACTAAGCTCCTTCTCTTTCTCACTCTGTGGGGGGGTTTCTCGCAGTATATATGTATCCGTAGGATTTTCAGACGTTCTTTCTCTCGCCTTCTGTTTTATATATATATATATATATTTTTTTTTTTTTCGTTTCCTTTACGTTTCACTGCCTCTATCCGATAGCTAACATATAGTAGCTTCGATTGCCGCCGCACATTTTCCTCAGATCGATCAAGGAAAGAAAGAGAACGAAAAGTGTAAAATGAGCTGTCTACGACGAGTGTCTGATAATCTAGCAGGATGGAGACAAATGAGAACTGGTATAAGGTGAAGTTATGAGAAATAATCTATCAGATGTACACGCTGTGTTAATAATTGTTACACGAATAACTCAACTTGTTTAATTCTTTATTCCAAAGATATAAAAGAAATGAGAAAATTTCTGCTTTAAAATAAAATTAATTTGGAAAAATCTTGCTCAATTTGAGAAGTCTAGACATATGCTATAAATCATATTTAAATCAATAAAATATTAAGAAGATATCGCATTTTACTTTTACACTAATATCAACACTAATATTAACTTTATGTGAACCATTATGTATATTTTATAATACATACATTTTCTATATATATATATATATATATATATATAAAATAAAACTTATACATATATGTATATTATAAATTTTTTTTCGCGTTATATAATATCGATGCATTTAATTCGAAATATTCTAATGTTTACGAATATGAAATTTGTAACATGATTAGAGGCAAAAGTCTTCAAGCACTATTATTATTTTTCTCTTGTGAAGTAAATCAGAAAAATTGAGTTTATAAAAAGTGCAATGGAAAGGTGCACGTTGCCAATAATTCACTGCAGAAGCAATAAATAATGAAGCAACATGATCCGCCCCTTTATTCCAGACGTTTAATCCTCCCGCGTTTCTCTCTCCCCATATAATTATGATTAAACCGGATCACGGCCTGGCAGACTGAATTTCGCTGTGGGCCAATAAAAAAAAAACAATTTTCGATCGACGGTTTCAGTGTGACGGTCACTCTTTACGATGCTCCCGAATAATGTGATTCTGGATACATAATTCCAGTCCGCACGAGTAGAAAAGCTTCTCGCGGATTTGGCAACACTGTGATGCTCTGGGCGTCTCAGCGACACTCTGCGGCGCGAAGGACGAGCGTCGAGCGTTTCACGACAGAGAAAAAGCGGGAGAGGTTTCGCTAGGAGTAAAGGGTGAAGGGCGGCACCCGCGAGAGACGAGACGGGGAAGCACAGCGGACGACAGAGACGGTGAGCGCGAGAGGGGAACGGATTGGATCACGTGATATCGTAAGAGGGGATGATCGCGGTAACGGTAGGGGTATAGGGGGTGTGGCTACGGGTTTCCTCTCTGTCGCTGCTACCGCTACACTGAAACGAGAGACGGAGCGCCTGAGAGTGCGAGCGAGAAGGACGGAGTGAGACAGGGTGAGACTCATGACGCTGTACCGTGCGAATTTTGGCACGGCTCTCGAAAACTTCTCACTCGCGGTATTTCGCGGAAAACTCGGTGAATTCCCGATGTGGTTGCAATTGTATTGCATTACGGCGATGATAAAGTATATTCGCCACGCGAGTGCACGTACGATGGAAAGATACTTGTATGGATAGCTATACATTTTTAAGTGAAACTCGTCGCCAAACTTGATTTTACACAGACGAATTATATTTCAAGCCTCGTTCTCAAGATTATAACATGTAGTAATAGTGCTTCTCCTAGAGGTACTATTATACATGTTGTAATCTTTTCGAATGAGGCTCTTTATATCATTTCGATCGAACTTCACTTAGAGACAAGTTCATTTCATCTTCAATTATGTGATTTTTCGTATCTCATTCTGATTCGCTTGAATAAGAATCTTAGTAATTTTCCGATTCCTGAATTGTAAGATATAAGATGTAATATTATTGGCAAAAGTACGTTACATTATACTACACCTTATTAATTGGAGATATGTTATACTTCATATAATTAAGTTAGAACTTTTGGAGGTATGCATTCCTTATTATTAAGTTAGAATTTTATTTAACAACAGTTAAAGTTAAAGTTAATAATATCTGAATAGAAATTACTAAAAATGTGCAGTTAATGATACATCGGTATACTGGTTCATATGATCTATATTATCCGAGTAATCTAAATTTGCTTATCTATAATACATAAATTTTAATTCTTTTATCATAATGGAGTTAAATGATTCGGAACGCGTGTTAACAATATTGCATTTAATGAAATACGCAAATCTAAGCTTACTGATAATATAACATACATATGTGATAAATGTATAGTATTTAAGCAAATTTCTCGATTATATTCAAACAGTATGACCAACTAATAGAAATTAATTAGTATTTACTAAAACTACAATGTGTGTGAATGGCGTATTTGAGTAACTCATTTCTCAATCCAAATCAAATTACTTATTTATTTCAAGCGAAAAATTGTCTCCTCGCTCCGGTTATACTTGAGTTTTTACTAAAAGAAAAATATTATTTTGTTATCGCCTGATGCTATCTCGAAAAAAAACGTTTAAATCAAAAGAATGCAATGAATCGAGATATGCGGAATGATATCTGATAGCAATAGCATTATTCTATGGTACATGAAACGAAGGTGTCGAGCAACGTGGCAACTCAGATGTGAAAATTCTCTCGCGTGTCAAATGCGAGAGCGTTAACGTTCAGTCGGCGAAGATTCGAGCGAGCTCCACTAACGACACCTCGCGACGTCGCGTCGGTCGTGCGCTCCCTTCCTCTGTACTCGGTGCCCCCGCCCTCGTTGGAAGGCAGTGACGCAGGGTGGTGTTAATGGGCGTACTCGCGGTTAACACCCTTAGAAGGAAGGTAGTGGGGACACACGTCGAGTGTACCGTTCACCGACGACAAACGAAGAGCGTGGCGAGTGTGTGTAGGTGACGCGTAGTGGTGGGGATAAGTCCGTCAGGAGAGGAGACAGGGAGAGCGTGCTTAGGCGCGAGTGAGACCGGTCGTTGGCTCGAGTAGCGTCGGAAAAGGCGTCGAGTCCAACGCCGCTCGGATTGGCGCCGGAACGCCAATCCGGAGTACGAGCGCTCATTATCGCCCGACCGGTTGGTAGGGAGAAGGTGCCGCGAAATTCACCCCATCCCTTCTCCCCACCGCTCGCCGGGTTCGTTTCATCGCATCTCGGTCTTTGTTGCTCTCGCGGCTGCTTGCAGACAGTTGGGGAAGGCCGGACCCCCACTCCCAAGCCTGGCTGGCGATAGAGGAAGGGAGGAGGAGCCCCCGCCCGCATGGTCTCAGTCTTCGCGTCGCTGCCCTCCAGCATTCACGCCTCCCGCGTCCGTTCTGCGGCGCAGGCACAGACCGCGGTCTGTATACACGCGCGCGTAACGCACGCACACGGTGCCGCGGACCACCCATATACACGCGGCCGTCGCGTCGCCGCGCGTACACACCGCCCTGAATCCGGACGGGGACTTTAGCACACCAACACCTCCGTGGGAGGTGTGGGGGTGAGCCCCCAGAGTAGGTGTCAATCCTAGCGCTGCTCAGTGACCATCGCGGCGCCACCCAAGTAACACCTTTCGTCCGAAAGGCTCTTCAGCCCCGACCGAACGTCCTCGCCTCGCCTCGCCTCGTCTCGTCTCGTCTTGTCAGCGTCATCATCGGCCTCGTCGTCCAGACAAGGATAAATCCTACACTTGCGCTCCTTTTTATTTCTCATCTACGTCAAATCCTCCACTTACGCTCCTCGTGTCGCCAATCACGCGTGAGAGACCAACCGGCGTCCCTGACCAATTCCCTGGAAACATTCAACTGGACTGTCCTCAAGACTGGTGGTCTTTAAACCCGTCGGACGATCAAACGAGTGTCCGAGTGTCGCGTTTTGGAGCACTCGAGAGAACCGAAGAAGAGGAAAAGACGGTGGCGAAAGGTGGCAGAAGATTTTGCAAACGTAGTCGAGTCGGTGCGACAAGTAAGTGATCAGTGAGAGCAACGGATTTGCACTATGGCCTAGAGTGACTCGCGGCTAGTGTCTCGACATGGGAGTGACTCTTATACTGAAGATCTATCACGCGGCGTCGTCACCGTAGACGTCCGCTCGCGAGTGCTCCAGCTCGTCGACGATTCCGAGATTTCCGAGATTTCCGAGTGTCAGTGTACCTCTCGGGCTCGGCCCGATTAGATCAGGTGCTCCGAAAGCGGACGATAGTCTCGCGAGTGATAGTCCGATCGAATGCACTTGGTGCCACTTGGTGAAAGATCGCTGAAACGTCGGACAATCCTGCCGGCAGGATCGAGTGTCCGCATCGTAAGATGTCGACTAGGCAATTTCCATCGTCATTCTGCAGTAGCGAGACGATTGTCGGCGATTTCCTACGCGGGCCAGAAATTGGCGCGAAAGAACGTGGGCGTCCCGAGGAACGTGATCCATAGTCTTGAGGCGTGTCTCTCTCGCTTCTCTCTCGGGAATGCGTGTTATTATTGGATATGTGGAGGAACGAGCGCAATCGTTGACCTAACTAAGCAGATAGATTCGCGCGAGGAAGAGTGAACGCAGTCGCAGCGTCGAGCGTCCGTCCGACGGCTCGTGAACGGCTCCCGCGTGCGGAATTCGGATCGGAAGTAGGTCGTAGGAGATACGCGACGAGCGGCGAGCGGCGAGCGGCGAGTAGCCAAAATCGAGAGCGGCGCGGCGCAAGGTTTGAGTCACTCGAAGAGGAATCTCGCGCGACTCGGCACACCCGCCCGTCTCGATGAGATTCGAACAAGACACGGCGTGCAGGGGTACCCACTGCGCCAGCACTCCGCAACCCTCCGCGCTGCAGCAGCGATCACGGCCCGAGGAGGTGGTGGTGGAGGAGGAGGAGGACTCCTCCGCGAAGGACGTCGACGGTCAACGACGTAGACTTGGCATAGAATTGGAGGCTAACGTGGTCGAGGGTGCGAATACGGGGCCGCGGGCCGAGGCCGGGGGGCCTGGGATGGCGTATCCCGCGT